TATTATTAGTCATAAGTTTAGATAATTATTACTGTCAAAATGATATGTTGATAACAGTGTTAACTTTAGTTCTATATTTTTCAACATGCTATCAAACGATATCTATTGATAAATTAATATACATGAATATAAAGTAAAAAAGTCATCTATATTATTGAAATTCATACATTTTATAAGACGCTACATTAATTATAAAATTAGTATATTTTTGAAAGTTGTAAATAGGTACATACAGTTGTGTAATCAACAAATATCACACCATTTTTGCATATTACTATAAGCGAATATTGTATTTTTTTTCTCTCTATCTCTCACTCACACACTAACACGTACTTTATCATTTTACGAACAATTTATTATACAAATGAGTTATTTAAAGAAAACAATTTAAATAAATAAAAACGTTAGTAATGAAATAAAAGGGTAAATATTTATAGAAATATCTAGATTTTTGGGTCAGAGCAGAAACCTTAGTTAACTATATTTCTTATTAACATACTTTTTTCATAAATATTTGGTTTAAAAGTTTTGTTTAATGATGAAATTGCTTTAAACATCAATTATGCTATTATTTATAATTATTTGCCAATAATAATATTTTGTTCCGCAATTACGTGAAAGTATCCGTAGTTAGTGAAAAAGTGAACAACTTTAAGTTGACATGCGTTTTTATTCAAACATGCAAAAAAATGTCAATATTTTTATGACAATTAATTTATGATAAGAATTATTTGCATTTCTTATTTTTATTGAATGTCAATTGAAACCTAAAATTATTATTATTATTCATCATTAATAAATTAAAACCGATATACATTTGTAAGCAGTAATCTGAATAATAGTAACAAATAATAGGTGAAAATACGCATGATTAAAATATTAATCACTATAGAAATGCCGTTTTAAAGTTGTTCATTTTAATACATCAATACCTAACTTTTTGCTCTATAAATTAATATATTTTTAATGAAATGATTCAATCAAAAAAAAAATTAGTTTCATCATAATTTATTGTTGATCATAAAATCCTTAAATCCTGATCATATATTTTCGAAAAATGCATTTAATTCGACACTCGAATACCGGGGAGGGTAATTTATCTGTATCTGAATTTTGTCCCCTTTTTCATTGTCACCATAGCGATATTATTATAAAAACAAAATATACTATTATCTTTAAAAATCTGAGTAGTTCCTGCGGGTGTGCCCTTGGATCAGTTTATCGTGCGCGTTTAATCAAAAAAAAAAGTGGTCTCAAAAAAAAAGTTCAGTGCATAATAATAATAGTTTATAATAATGGTATTAATGTTGGCCGAGACTCGCGTAATCTAATTTCAATCCTAATAGTTATAGTTGTCAGCAAAAATACTCCGACGCGCTTTCAGTCATAAAAATGGCATTCATAATTACTTACAATGTAAAAGTTCTAAAATTGAAGTAGACTTTGATCATAATTTATGTTTGATGTACTCTAGCAATACAAACGTTTGGTAATTTAATAGTACCCGACTAAAAATTGACACTAGTATGTATATAGGTTATTTGAATATATTTAGTTACTGTATGTACTAAATATATTATTGTCTTTAATAGCTTGTAACCTTAAGGGATGTATGAAACACAAAATTAGATTAATTTATTTCATCAAGTTATTATATATATAATATTCGTATATGAATTCTACTTTTTCGTTTTAAACAATAAATTGACAATTCGTGCAAAAAAGTTTTGACGATAAAAACAAATAAACGTATTTCTATGTTGGCGTGTGAATTCTACAATCGCGTGCTGTGTATTAACCTCAATTTTAGTAGCTCGATTCAAAAAGTTTTATTACATGCATTGTTTTTCTTTTAAGTTTATTTTATTATATATATATTTTTTAACCCTTCTGGATTATTAATTCATACTCATTATTTTTGTCCTTCATTTAGCCTTGGTATTTCATATCGATCACCGACGACATTACACCTTATCATCATTGCCAACCTTTCTGATAACGATATAATGATTTTTTGCGAAAATATCGTTTAAAATTATAGTTTGCACTTTTACTTTTTCAGCACTTATATAGCTCGCACAGATGTCAAGTATAGTTGATTAAAATAAAATGTCATTAGGCAATAAAATTAAAACTACTTACGCAGTAAACAAGTATAGCATTTAATCATATTTATATAATATATCATATTACTTGATATTTATCGGTTCTCAATTTTTTTAAACTATTTAGTACAATGGATAACATTGATTCCATCGTTCTTGAATACTTGAACACGGTTTAATCTATTTTAAAGAATGAAGGTAATACTTCGATTTGTTATGTATGTGTAATAATGGGATGTATACATATATAGTCATTAATTAATGTAATAATATATTAAAAAATAGTTTGAAATTCACATGACATTTTTCACCGATTCTAAATACATATATGGAAAACTTATCTTGTGTTTTTTAATATAATAACTATAAAAATAAATATATATATTTTAAAACGAAGTACCTTCAAGAAAATTTAACCATAATAATTCTACTAATGGAAATTTTTTTAAAATTATAATATATATTTGCACTTGGTATTATAATCATCTTCCGTTTGTATTTTATGATAAAATTATTGCAAAACTTAATTTCTAAATTTTACTGCCAACAGTACATATAAGTACTTAATATTTATGACATATTTAGTTCTTTGTAGTTATACAAGTATATCTTTTTTAATAATTTTTCAACAAAAATTAAGTAACATTTTTAAATCATTATTTGTGAATTTAGGCGATTATCAAGCCATTTTTTTTTTACAGGTTTATTTATTGATGATGTTATTTTGTGATTTAAATGCACATTGAGAAAAAAAAATTATATTTAAATACTTTTAAAACTATTTATAATATAATAACAAATTTTTATTATAAATAAAAAAATATAGTTACTACAAAGTTTTTTCGCGGAGAAAAAAGCGTTCAATTTTATGCGTAAAATATTATTTTAAATAAATATTTCATAATTCCCCTATAATATTTGTATTTTATTTGTAAATTATTATGAGCTACTAAGTACAGAGACTATTTAATATGTTTGTATAATATTATTTTAAAAAATATATTTATTTTATAAAATATTTTTTTAATTCAAATGTGAACTAAACAATTTAAAATTGTTATATTGCTTAACTTTATATCTTCCAAAAACAAAATTATACTATTCAATATACAATAACTCATTAGAAATACATTTTTCGTTCTCATAACATAATCAGTAATATAAGGTAAATAAATATAAATCTACTTTTATATTTATGTATAAAAAATATTCTTAAGAAAACAAATCATTAATATAGCCCAAATAAGTTCTAAGTAATTCAAACATACATAGTTAAAAATTCATCATTTCATAGACATTAAAGATATTTTTAATGTATCAACAACATTTGCTGTTAAAATATTATTAATTATTATTTTTTTTTTTTAAGAAATGATTTGTCATTAAAACCATTTTTGTACAAGAAAAAAACTACCAACTTACTATGATACACAATTATTCAAATTTTTGAAAGCATATTTTTAATAATTTTAAGAATTTAGGCTTTTTGATAAATTTCTTATTTAAATTTATGAATTTTTTTTATTAAAAAATTGCTTTTAGAAATGTTTTCAATGATTATCATATGTTATAAGTTTATACAAATATTTAAAGTATCTAATACAATTTTAAATCAAAATATTATTACAAATATAATTGATTTTTTTCTCAAATATCACTTTTGTAATCTTAAATGCATTTATAAATTATTAAATACGACTGTCGAGCTTTATAAAAAAAGTTTTAAATATAAGAAGTGAAAAGGAACATACTTTATAAAACATTTTCAAAACAAAATTTAAATTATTTTTATAGAATCTATTTTTATTTTTTATTTCACATTCTAATAAAATTCGACCCATAATTCTTATGAACTTATTTACTCAACACATCATATAGGTAAATGCTGTCTCAAAATCTATGTATTTTAAGCATCTCAGTACTTCACAACACACAATACAATTTTTTGCTAATAATATAAATGTAATGTACTCTCAAATATGATTTAAAAAAAAATAAAAAATAAATAATGGATTAACTTTCAACGTTACCTATTTCATATTTATTTATATTTTTTTTAACGTATATTTTTGAAATACGACATATTTTTAATAAATATACTTAGAATTAGAATTTCTAGAACGTATTTATAGAGCTCATTTCGTGTACAATATTATAACATTTATCGAAAACATAAACTAATAAAATACAATAAAGAAACAATTCGAATGTTTCAACAAAAGTTTTCAATACGATAGTAAATAATTCATCAATATCGTTAATAAATATACCTACTGATAATCTTGCCATATTTACGTTACTATAACTGTACTAAGTTCGTAGTGCATACAGTACATGATAAAATAAAATCCATGTATCTACTAGGAATTTAAATAATCCATACAGTTTTAACGTTCGAAAGTCGAAAGTACAACAGTAATGTGTTTAAGCATCGTTATGGCGAAACGCGAAAATAACGGGGTGCGAACAAATTGTGCGATTTTAATGAAACAATTTTAATATTTATAAACGTGTTCGCGGAAAAGGAAATGCATCCTTACGCGTATTATTTAAAATAGTCGAAAAAAAAAAGGTTACCGTTTTTTTTTTTTTTTTTCTAGCTCGAATGCGATCACGTGAACATTATTGTTATTATTCGTGAAAATACGTCCGACGTCCGTAAATCAGAAATATCGAATTCGACAAAAATTTATTAACCGGTTAATAGCACGGTTGACATGATGAGGTACAACCGATATTCAAATAATCGGCATCGGTACCTATTATCGTAATTTGTTTCGGTTATTTCTTAACTCAACACGACATCGTTCTAAATATTGTTGTTAATATTTTCGTAAAAACTATTGTAATTAATCATTAAATAGTGTTATTGTAAATATTGTGCAATCATATTACCATGGTGGTGCAAGATTTTGACTTTCCGTAGTGAAGCTTCGACGGACGATGGAGACAATTGCGTGCGTCCAACACGTTGACTGAAACTTTAGTCCGGCGGCAACGACGACGACGACTACGACGGCGGCGGCGGCTGCGGCGGCAGCGTCGTCGGCGGCAGAGCAGTGTGCCTAGGCAACCACTCCGGTGCACGTACCTGCACCCTGTCACGCGGTCGGTGCAGAGGTATGCGCGTACGTTCTGGGCGAGTTGTCGTGCACACTTGCTCGGCCCCGGATACAGTGTACGATATTATGCATAAAGGGAAATAACTATTTTTTCTTTTTTTTTTCCTTTGCACTCGCGCACCGGCCTCGTACGGCGAATCCACTGCGGGCACGTTCGACGTACCTATTATACAATCTGGGGCGTATTTGGAGGGGGGATGATACGGGTGTTAAAACGCCCCCCATCGATGGCGGTCAAACGGGGGGGGGGGTTGATGAGGAGGATATATCCCCCCCCTTGACCTTTTTTTAAATATTTATAATTCTTCCATATTATACATAATATAATATAGGTATTCATCTATTTTCTATTTAAAAAAATAAATATACTGTACTTATTAGTTATTATACAGTCTCTAGATTCGAATAAAATTAACAGTTCAAACATAAAACACTAAAATATTAATTGAAACAAACTTTTTAGATTTTTTTTCATTTCCTTTATAGTTAAATTATAAGAATGTATGAAATTTAAATTTAGTACTTAATGCTTAACATAATATATTATATTATTATATGAATTGTGTAATCATATTATTTTAGAGTCGTCTCAATGGTTTAACCACTATGGTTGTTCATCGTGAGGTTGTTAATATAACTGTAGACGGAATACTGGACGAATTAGCAAAAAAAACCAGAAAAATAGATTTAATAATATAAATATCATTAACTAGCCGACCCGTCACAGCTTCGCCCGTGATTGGTTGTTTATTTTGCCTTCGAACCATGATATGAGAATTTTTTATTCAAATATTATTGTTTAATGTGATCGGCAAGTAAATATAAAAAAACGGTTAATGAAAACGGATTGAAATTTTTCTAGCGTTATAATTGATAAAAATAAATATAGATAAAAAAGAAATAATTTATGGATGATAAAGAATTTGATTGAAGTTGATGAAGAAAAAAAAAGAAAAAAAAAAGAATTAAAATAAGAATTTTATAAGACTTCTGAGTATATGATGTTTTTTGTTATATTTCCTGTTGAAATTAAAATCATAAGATGATTTGGGTCCCCAGTTCGAGAAAATGCCACGTATAATTGCCCATGTGAAAAGCACTCTGTACGAAGATCTACGCCAACGTACTTGAATGTTTGACTTTGCGCTTTTTTTGTGGTAATGGCAAAAGAAACTTTAACTGGGAATTGAAGCCGTTTGAAAGAAAACGGCAAGTCAGAGGGAATCATGGGAATTCTTGGAATAAATGCAATTTCTCCTTTCGCTGACCCTGTAAGAATTACGGATTCTATAATATTATTTCGCAACGATTTTATTTGTAATCTTGTACCGTTACATAAGTTCGGTGGTTGAAGATTACGTAATAATGTAATTGGAGCACCAATTTTTAATTTTAGCTTATGAAAAGGAAATCCCGAAGGAGAAAGAGAATTGGGAAATTCTTGTGGATAATGAATAGCATCATCTGTTGATGTAACTGTATCAATAGATAGATATTCTCGTGAGTGTCCATCGAATTTTAGAAGGATGATATCATTAATTTCTCCTGCTGTTACATTTCTCGGAGAGATAATAGCTTTTTCACATAACCACTGATAAGATTTATTGGACAGATTAAAAATGTCAGGATAAACTGTAGAAATCAACTCTTCCACGTTACTGACCGCCCGTCCAATCGTATGATTGACAGAAATGTAACCATTTTCATTTTCGAAAGTTCCATTTCCAATTTTCAACAACTGTGCTGGAAAAATATCGTCCCCTCCGCATAAATAAACTCTCATGTTTGTTCGCAAATACAGTTTTTCAACATAGTTCCATATAGGGGAAGATTTTAAGCAAGTATTAATGATATCAGCTCGAGTACCTTTAAGGATTACTGGTAAGGTTTGACGGAAATCACCAGCGAAAACAAATGTTATGCCACCCATAAACTAATTATTACACCTTTCAGAAAATATTTTTGCCATCATATCTACAGCGAATTGGCTGAATAATGTTTTGTTATAATGTAGATGATTTAGACTTGTTTCTCTCACCATAAACCTATAAGAATAAAATTGCATGCAGGAGACAGTTTTTGTTCGATTTTGGTTATTTTTCTGTAAAATATTAATGTGATAATCGTCTTCGCCTCTAATATACATCAATGGGTATTGCAGTGCATCATAAGATCTATTCAATTCGGAAACTCGACTCAAGTGTCCACTCCGACTGTGCAGAACTATATCTCTGGGACCTTTATCTTCATTAACTAATAATACAGCTACTTCATCGATGGTAGGTGCATTATATTTACCTTTGTGTTCATCTTGAGGAACTCTGTCAGCATGAATAATTAACTTAAAGTTTTGCAACTCATCAAAAGACCTCGACTCCAGATTAGATCTGAAGCTCTGTATGAGGTGATTATTTTCACGCAAAACTGTTTGCAATGATTCAATGAGACCTCTTTTTAAATTTGGAATCATATTTGTTCGAATATCTATTATATTAATAATATCTATTTGATCCGACTCTGACATAAAATATATTTGTAAAAATTTAGCATTATTTCCAATTTCGGGTAATAAGCTACCTATTAAATGATGCACTTGACCTTGAATTTGAAAAGAGGGCATGAAGTTCCCTTCAACTATTTCGTTTGCTCCAAACGATGTCATTTGAAACAGAGTATTATACCGTCTAGAATTATCAAAGAAATGTTTTGATAGAGGGTGAAAATTATCAATTAAACTTTTTAATTAGGTCTGGAAGATCCTCAAATTGGTACAAAACAACTTTACCGTCAGCGCAGCAAAGTCCATGGGTTTCATCTTTCCATTTTTTTGCATGGCACTTAGGACATAATATAGTCATTTGTCCAATTTGAAGCGCTTTAATATTTAAATAATCAATCTCGGATTGATAATATAGGTACACGCACAATATAGGTACAATTGTTTTTAATTGTTTAAGAACTTTTATGAACTTTTTTACTGACAAAAGTGATACTAAAACCTTCAGCAGAGTATCGGGTTTCAGCCAAAAAAAATTTCAGCCAAATCGGTTCAGTAGTTTTCTCGGTTAGTGCGGTCGAAGAAAAACCCTTACAATTTTATATATAGTATAGATAGATAGATAGATAGATAGATAGATAGATAGATAGATAAATAGATAGATAGATAGATAATAATTAATAATATCATTAATATAATATATTTTCCATTTTTAAAAATAAAGATTTTTATATACAGTGTTTGTTAAAAAGTCAGCTACAACCCCCTCCATGACAAAATCATTTGACCGCCACTGCCCCCCATCAACCGTATTTTATGGTATTTCACCAAATTTCAAACTTACAGTATAATTTGAATAAACCTTGTGTACAACTTGTAGATTTTACATATACTGTCTTAATATAATAATTTTCATTAATATAATAATTTATATGAATAAGTGGTATTTATTTATGTAATACAGAGGGGGGCAGATCCTCACTTATCATAAGTCTATTACATTTTAAAACACCCCTGTTAAATGAATCTTAGATCCGCCACTGTATGCAATGTACCTACGTATGCATGATAAATAATATGCATACGTTTATACGTGTTCGAAGGGGAAGAACCAGGGGATGGAAGACACAGATTCATCCCCGGACGTAAAATTTTAGAGGGTGTCATTTTTGTAATTATTATCAACCAATTTGATATTTTTAACTTTGTTAAACTCTGTCATCAGGTTAACACTCGATAAGTATGATTGTATATTAATTATTAGAAAACAGTTTTCAAGAAGAGAATTTGATTATTGGTCTATGATAGGGAGTAATTTTAACATTTTCCCTGGGCGTAAAAATTCCTAGTACCCTAAATAATATAAGTATTAGTAAATAAATAGATATATAAAAGGTTATTAATAAATTGATAAATAATAATATCCTATAAATCCTATAAAATCCTAGTTCAACCTCTGCATGTACGTCACGGCTGGTATCGAACGATTAACCATCGCGATGGCTAAACTCGAGATTAGCCGGTTGATCCGACACATCTAGTAAATGATATCGGCCAGAGCCAGATTTAGGAATGTGGGGGCCCTGGAACCACCCTTAGAAGTAAATTTTTTTTTGATTACACATATTTAATAAACAAAATTCCAAATATTCAGAATTTCGGTTAGGAAAAAACAATGATTTGTTGTGATGAAACAATAAAAGTAGTAAATTAATTTAAATTTATACTTATAAGCTCGATATTAATTTTTATGTAATTATAATATATAAATATATTTTTGGTTATTAAATATTAATAATAACATTGATTTATTAATTTATGACAATATCAATGATTGGACATTTTTATTCAAGTTGTGATTTAAACCTATTTTGCAAATGTTATATTGTGTTTAATACTTGGATTCAAAAAAACCACATTTTGTGGGGGGCCCGGGGCCTGAGACCCCTAAAACCGGCCCTGATATTGGCTAACGCCAACGTTTCGGATCTTATTATCCATCGGAAAGATAACGTTATCCAGTTTTACACACGGCTGACGAATGAATAATAATCGTCTGACCGAATGATTTAACGGTATAAGTCGTACAGGAAATCTTTTTTAAAGATGGATAACTCGAATATTAGAGTAGATTATTTACATTTTTATTTTTATTTTTTTTTATATATACATTTATTACTACACGTTAAACTGCCATCTGGAATCTTAAATTACATAGTATGGATATACTTTTACATTTACATTTTTTTTTATTTGTAAAACCATCTAAACGAAAACCGAAAACATTTTTGAAAGATCTCCGCCTCCCGATAATGACTAAAATCATTCCGATGTTTTCCACCGTTCCCAACATTTACATGTGTTTCGTACAATATTTTGTATAAATCTTCATTTCTTACATAAAAAAAAAATGTTACCGTTACCGTCGGTGACATGGGCTCAATGAGTTTTTCTTCGTCTCCAATTAAAATGGCTTTGGATAGTTCATCAAATTATGAAAGCACTTCGGTTAGTATTATTATTATTATTTT